AACCATTTGAATTTTTAATTATTATTCAAACGCATTGAATAAGAGAGATCGATTTCAATCTCGGGCATTCCCTTGCACTCTCTATAGAGTGGTCGCTAAAAGATGTAAAACAAAAATTGGAAGATGAGCACGAATGTAAGAGAGAGATAGAGATAGATTCATTAGCCAATGGCGTGTGTTCGATATGCGCTTGATTTAAATTTAATTCAATTGAATCGTTTGATTTCGAGTATGGGTAATATTTTAAGTGATGAGGCAAAGATGCTATTTTCATCGAATGCCCGTAAATAATACCGAGCCAGCTCAGCAGTAGTGAAGTAAAAGCCACGACGATAAAATAGCAACAAAACGATCGAATGAGAAGGAGAGAGCGGCGGCTATGATTGCTTCAAAATCGGTTCGTGAGGCAACAACTCAAAATAAGTAAAAATAAAGAGCGAAGAATCCGTTGTATACTATTTTTACTATTTTTCGACATTTTTTTTTATCTCTTAGTGCAAATTTTCTTTGGTCCTTTGTACTCCTTGTTTTTTTTTTTCATCTTCATCATCGTCGTTGTGCTCTTCATCTTCGGATTCGAAGAGAGCAGCGCCAACAAACCAAGTAAAACCAATATCACATTATTTTCTCTCACATTCGTTTGCACTCATTCCATCTCTGTTGCACTCTCTTTTTCATTCCCTTTCTCTCTCTTTCAATCTCGGAATAGATTGTTGTATATTTATTATACACACATACCGATTTGATATTTTTTTCTCCTATAGATCGCATTTCATTCTCAGGCGCAACATTTATTTCTTTGTGATCTGTGTTTGTTGTAGGAGACACGACACACTAAGGAGAATGATGCGCGCATGAAAATTTATTTTTGTTATTAAAAAAAAGCGCCCATGCCATGGTTGTTGCGATGTTGTTGTTGTTGTTGGTTTTGTGTGCTGTTGGTGCCGCGGCAATCGCTTCTTCATCGAGATAGAGAGCTTTAGTATGAATTGAACGCTCATATATTAGTTGAACAGTTGATTCAATTATTTTCGGTTGGATGGTATCGATACGAGAAAAATAAAATAAAAAACAAATCGCCTCAAAACGAAAAAGTTTCATGCGAATAAAAAACCGTCCCTTTCTCATACAGACACTAACATATACCACTGACAGTTACTGAAAAAAGAGCGTGTGTATGTGAGACACAGAGAACGTGAGAGATAAAGTGCCCCGAAATGCGAAAGTCCGGTGTCAAAATGGAATTCGCAGATAAAATTTTGAATCAACAACATTGGACAAACGACAACGATTTAATAGTCACACGATTGTCCAGTGTATGGCCAATGATGATCACAGCTCTTTGGCATTCAGTGGCAGTTTTATATGTTGTTGATCGTATTGAAGTTGATATTTCATCGATCGATCGAATACAGTGTACAACCAGTCCCGGTGAATGGAACTCGTACAAAGGTTGCTATGGATAAAACCAAAGCGTTGTGTTTTCGCATTTTGCCGTTTAAAAAACAAATGTATATCAGTTCTTATGGTAAAGTGATAGTGAGATGAACGGTTCCTGCAGTGTGTGATAAGCACACTCGACGACAATCACATAACGGTGTACGTCTTTTCCATTCTCATTTCCATTGATGTGAAATTAATGCACATTGTGTGTGTATGTGTTTTTTATGTGTTCGATATTTGCGTGCATGTGATTTTGAATTAAAAAAAAAACGAAGAATCAAAAGCTTTGATAGAAAAGTGCATTGCAAAATTCTACTGAAAAGAAATCGGATTAAATTCGTGCATGTGACAAGTTCGAGATCATGACGGAAATTTTGTTGCATCTCAAGAAGTATTCTCAATTGAACGAGAACAAAATCGATCACATTGAGCGCAAGCTGCTATTATTATTATTATTTTTTTCACTATGCATTTTCATTTGAAATACATCAGTTGTGTATCAAGCCAATGTAAATGCCATTATTGTCAGTTTATTTAAAGATTGTTTCAACTTTCAACGGTATTTTTATTTCATCTTTCCGAATCGCAACGGTTATTTTGGTATGATCTTAAAATAGTATGATTCCCGTAGATTTTTCTGTACCGTACATTGTGTTTACGATTTAATCTATTTGTGCTCAAATTGTGCGCGCTCTTCTTCTTCTTCTTATTTTTTGCCTTGCATGTGATGATGGTGCCGCTTTTTGCATATCGTTCGATTTAACCGATCGCTTTATATTCAATTTTTTTTTGTTTGTCGTTAGAAGTTGTCTATCAGGCGAGCAAAAGCTTTTCAAAGTACGATAGATGACACAAGATCATTCATATCAGAGGAAATAACAAAAAAAAAACGCTAACGAACTGCATTCAGAACTGTTCTATAAATGTGGATAAAACAAAAGAAATCATAATTTGCACTTTGACTTTATTATCAAACAAAACCGTTTTGTTTGTGTGAGCATATGTGTGTATAGATTTGGTCACATTGTGATACTAAAAATAAGCGAAAGAGATAACGTGAGAGAATTGAGTGATAGAGCTTTCGATATTGCATTCTCTCTTGTTTATCCTACTGAAAAAGAGATGGCGATGAACTTCCGCTTCGAAAATGAAGTGACAATTTTTTTTCTTCGCAAACATGTTTGTGGCATAAACAATCGCTAATTTTTGTTTTATTACACATTTGAAAAAATTGCACAAAGATTAAAAAAAAGACGCATTTTTTGTTATTAAAAAAAAACATTTCGCTAATTTGATCATTCGTCGAAGTGCTGCGAAGATATTATTGATACAGTTCCTCAAAGAAAAGCATCGATATAAGAGACTCCTTAAAGTACAAAATGCAACAAAAAGTTCGACAAATGACAAGTTCGTCGTTAAATGTAAAGTTAGAATGGTATCCAAATCGAAAATTCCTCCACTAGATGGAACAACGATACTATTTTATTTGTTGATTATCATTTCGACTCGCGATCATCGATATTACTAAGCAAGCAGTCTCATATTCATCCGTCATTGACTTCTTGAAGTCATTACAAATGCTGATTAATATGGTCGGATCAAAAATGTTGAACAAAAATGACCGAAAAATTGCGGGTACGAGAGTGTAACAAAGTAAATTGAACTGTTAAACGATGGTTTCATTGTTTCGGATCGATACACGTATATTTGAAAGTATTTAATCTCTAACCTTGGCCCACCAATATATTGGCTAGTGAAGTAAGACAACAATACGCACGGTGACGTTTGAATACGGTCGAACGGAATGCGTACCCTTATCACTTGATCATGATATAGCACAATACAAATGAGAACAGAGCCAAATTGTACACAAAAAGGTCCATTTATTCCGAAACGGATCAACATCGAGTGCATTTAAAAAATGGCAAACATATGGTCATTGTTGAACACCGCATTTGTTTGGCATTTTTTTTTTTTTAATTAAACCGAAAATCGAGCAACAATCAAAATGTGATTTGTTTCTCCGTACTACTGCTTTCGTTCTGGTTCTTCCCATAAATTTTGTTATGTCGTTTTACACCAAACTCAAAATGGAGTAAGATTTTCCGATGACTTTTCTTGCTGATGTTTTCGCTTTAACGGCTGGCGTAAAAAAATGTTCTACAATTGTCACAAAGTCAAAAAGATTCTTACATGCAGAAGCAAGATAATTTAAATTACATTTTCAAAGTGATTTTCAACAGTTAAAAAGCGAATCTGTTGCATAGACACAATTGAAAAAAGGAGAAAAAAGGTCGACCGACACAAATGAAAAAAAGAAAAAAAAACACAAACTCGAACGCCAATAAAAAAAATACTCATGCGAAACGCAGCTTTATTTTCCTATTGTTGTTTTTTTTTTCGTTTCTCTCGTTTCATTCGCATTAAATTTTGGCATGCGGCCAGACATTTTTCAAAGGCACAATAAAATGTTGTCATAGTTGTTGCAGCCAAACGGCTTGTGTATTTGATTTAAGAATATATGTGTTTGCTGTTTTGCCGTACATTTTTTTGATGTTTATTCAATATATTGTTCGATGTGGGCAGCCAAATGGTACAAGATGAAGAGAAGAGAAAAAAAACCGACGACGGCGTCGTCGTCAACAACAACATACACAAGTGTAAAAACGAAATTAATGCTGGAGTTAGTCATTTTTCTTTCATTCCGGAATCACATTAGCGCGATAGAGAAAGAGAGAAAAATAAATGAAAAAAAGAGAAAATTTGTGTCTTAAAACTGTCAACAATTTTCCAATTCCCCAACGGATAATATACCATAAACAATGATCTCTTTTCACATATACATGGCTCGAATGTTTATGTGATTCAACATGCATGACTAAATCCATTAAATGTCGACGATAAAATCGGCAAATTTGCCAAATTTGTTTCGATTACATGAAATCATTGAATTTTCGATTGACTTCGAAGCACTGAATTTATCTCGGAGACTTGTGTAAATCGGGAGAAAAGCCGCCACAATCAAAATGGGAAAAATCAATTTATCGAATGTCTTCTAATTAAAATGTGTTGTGTACGATGTGAAAATGGTGTTGGAAAATTGATGAGAGAGAATCCCGACAAAATAATGTTCTTCATTCCTCTATATGTACGAATGTAAAACGGTGAAGTGAAAAAAAAGACTAAGATTTCGATTAGTCGTTTCAAACGGCTGTATGGCGTATACATTGTTGTCATTTTGGCCCGGTCTATATACGAGCCGCACATTCGTTCGTTCGCCAGCGTTTGTGTTGTATATATATTTTGTTTTTTAATGGCCGCTTTAAATGATCGCCGTTGTTTTGTGTGCGATTCGAATGTGCGAGAGCACATTCAAAACACTTTCAACGACCACAATAATAATATTTGACTAACGATCCAAGCCATGTATTAATTTTGTTTCTCACTTGCTCGCTCGCAACCATTTCATTTTCTATTACATTCATCATAGATTGCTGTTGGTTTTTTGTCCGTCGGTTTTTCATTTTACCGTTTTACTTTTTTGTTTCTTCTTCTAGGTTTTTGGATATTTGCCAAACATATCTTGTCATCGTTGTGTTGCTAATATCCCGGCAATCATTTGGTCGAGCATCGAATGTATGTATTGTTTTTTTTATTCTTATATGATTTTATGTATATTTCTACTTTGAGTGTTTCATCTCGTAGATACGAGTAGAAAACAATATTTTTTTCTGAACATTCAACCAATGCACGAGAGTGTTGTATCATTGAGCATTCGTCAACACCCATTCGTTCAAAGTATTAATTTACTATGAGGCTTTTTTTATTTCAAATCATTTGACTCACGTAGCACATTTTTTTTGTGCGACAAAAACCCGCGGACCCGAGAACATCAACGAAACCAAAAAAAAACATCTTAAATCTCAACGCTACTTTATGGCGTCTAGTAAATTAAATCATAATTTTTATTTTGTTTGTTGAAATCATATACGATTGAGATGAATAACTATATATCTCTGTTCTCTTTCTCCATTCTCCCGCTTACGTTCTCTCGTCCTCTGTCTCTTTCAAATCGCAAAACACCCGGATAACAACAAATGGATTTTTCAGTGGCTTATATCGTACATATGTGTATTCATTTTATGAATTCGCCTGTCAATCCAATCTATCTCTATCTCTCACATTTACAAGAAGAAACAAAAAAAACATACATCGGGTAATATTGTTTGTAATTACACAATTTTTATGCCCATTTTTAGATGAAAAATTAACGGAAACCGATTAAGCGTGTTTCTTCAACATACGATCGAACTTGAATTTTAAAAATGAAATAAAACACAAAAATCGTTTAATATTATCTCTGAAATGTTAATAAAATCCGACAATAACTAAATCAAGGAAACCACGTTTTTTCCATTCTGTTCACGAGAATATATATCTATTTCCATAAAAGAATTTGTTTTTCCTCGTTTTCACGTAGCCCTCGAAAAAAAAAACGTTCCTCTTTTGCCATCGAATTTCATGGTAGTCAATTAGAATGAAACGCGTCCGCGATCAATGCATTTAGAAGAGCAACATAAATTTAAATTGAATTGTGTCATTTTGAGAGGAAACTACGAAAAAAGCGACGAACAAAGATTTTCATCGCGATGTGTTTTTTGATCAAAAACCAAAGAAGTAGAAGTGGAAGGAAAAAACCTACGAGCATTCTCCGAAGATTAAGCATTTACATAGAATGTGATCGGAGGTGAGAGAGCATGTGTCATTGCACTCCGAATATATGTTCTCTCATGTGATTTGGGTTCCGGACTCAAATGCGCTCTATCTTCCATATTCTCTCTCGACATACAAGGTAAACAGCTACATAATTCACAAGCATAATAAATAACATGTTCCACATATTTAATGTATCTTTTTTCCCCATCTCTATCGGTTGCGTGCGCTTTTTCATTTTCAATCTCCTTTCCCTTCTTTTCGTTTTTATCCATATACAGCCATGATTTTTCAATGCACAACCGTGTGTGATTTTACTTTAGAAAATTCTATAGCAAAGTAAAACGTAAATACGAATTACGCGGGCGGAAACCTAAAAGTACTTCAAATTGTATATATCCAAGAGCACTGGATCCCAAAAAATACAATAACAACATAATATTCGTATATAATTCAAACAAATCAAAGCGTGTTCAATTTGAAACGGATCAGTTGAGAAAAGAGAACGAATCAATTAATGCAAATGGTTGCGAAGCATTGAGTTTTTTTTCTCCCATTTCCCTATGAACGTTCATGGAAATTCATTAGGTGGCTTCTTTTTTCGCACAAAAAATTAGGTTTTTGACTCTCTTAAGCAGCAATTGATTGCTAGATAATGAAGTTTCCATGAAGTTGAAAAAAAAACGAGGACGAGAAAAGTGTATAACAGAAGGGAATTCATTATTATGTACTATTTCTAACTGTCTTTGCATTGTATTTGGCCCTTTGTTTCCATCGAAACCATTTGGTCGTTAAGAAATCCGAGGAAAATGCAATTTTCGTCCACGCATATACATGAAATTGTTTTGTCGTGCGGCGTTGATTTTTCTATCGTTTTCTTTCTTAATTTAATGTTATGTTACCTATTTGTGACGGCGCGTATATATCGCATTTCATGTGTGTGTATACGCTGTGCGCTCAATAATTTTTCGTTAGAATCTCTCGTTCACCATGCGCACACAGTCACAGTGACGGAAAATATACTCATTTAAAATGTGATGAGCGAGATCCGAAGGCGCGTAACGATTACAGAATGGCAACAAAGTGTTGTTTTTGTTATTTGTTTTTTTTTCTGCTTCTTCTTCTTCTTCTTTTCTTCGTCGTTTCTCTCGTGAGGATCTGCACTCAACGATCGACATTCATTCTCTGACTCATGTCTGCTATTTTATGTGAAATGATAAATCCTCGTCTATGTAATGGATGTACATCGTATATACAGCACATTTTCGGTTCAATCCGATTATATCCGTAAAGTAAATTATATTCGTCATCACATCGCCTCAAAAACGATCGAGCGACCGTGTTTGTGTGTTGTACCTTCAGTTAGGCAATCGTGCACCGTTCAGAGGGAGTGAGTGTGTGACATGTGCATTTCAGCATTATGAATACAGAGCAAATAGGGACACACACATAAACATCAAAATGAACATAAGCATAAACTAAATGAATTAATGCCCAAAAGATTTGAAACAACGCATGCAGCAGCTGTTGAAAACAACGAACTTTATGGATGTTTGCATACGTCAAACCATACACACATAATTTGTTTTTGTTTCTCTGGGTTTTTTTTCGTATACACGCGGACTGTGGATGAATTTTATTTATTGATTTTTCGTTGAAAGTGCAAATTTTTTTCGCTTCTGTAGATCGGCCGTTTGCATCATCAATGGAACACAATGATCTCAATTGGATATCACATTTCCATGAAAATTTTACGTATTTTCATTTAAAAAAATCAGACAATTATTGACTAACGTAGAAGCGATTCTATTCAAAAGAGGAACAAACACCGAAACGATATCATTTTATCAACCGAGTTTTATTCAATTGACAGTGAAATGTGATCGTTCTCATTATTTTGCACTTTGATTTGATCTAGATTGAATCGCCGCCAAATCGTGAGACATTTTCGAATGCCATTAAATTTAGCGAACCAATCGAACGATTTTAAAACGGCGAATATGCTTTTTTTTCATTTTCACATGAATTCTTTCTCATTTTCACTCGCCCGTTTGATGTGAAATTAATATGTAATCGCAATTTCCCTTTCGTTCTGAATTGTTTGTTGATATTATTCTCTTGTGCCGCATTCTAACGGTGGCGGTGGTTCGAGCTTTAGAATATGGAATCGTCATAACATTATACGTTTTTATTACTCGGCGATGTGTGTGATTTGAGCCAGAGAGCTCACATTAGCAGCAAATTTTTTTTGTTTGATATTTGATTGGTTAATGCACGAGTCATCCAATATAAATGCGTCCATATGCATCGCATATAAGATGAAATGAGCTGAATAATAAAAATGAAACAAGAGCCTCAAATATGTGGCAAGAAAATTGAAAACACGCACCAACTCACTACTGACGCACTATAAACACACTGAGAGAGAGAGAGAGAGAGAGATCGGGAGAGAATGAAAGAAAAGTCTATACGCGTATAGTGTGTGAGAGAGCTACACAGGGATCCGAAATGCTGCCATCATACGCCACATAAACGAGAATCTTGTCTTGTTGAAGTGAAGATGAAATGAAAAACTTTTTTTTCTTCATTTAAATGTAATTGAGAGCACGCATATGTTTTTCACTTTGTGACTAAGTACTTATGTAGCACGTGCCCGACGTCTATGGTCTATTGGTATTGTTGTTGTTGTCGCTGCTTTTGGTGTGTTTTTTCCCTTCTTTTTACTTATGTTGTTTCATTTCATTCGCATTTTACTACGAATTGTTCGATCTTTCGTCGACAATGTCTTGATCATCGTCGTCGCTCAAAGATTTGTTGCACATTCAAAAATTGGCAGATGTACAGTTTCTTCGATGCATTTGATTTGTGTATTTTCTGTCCGTTTGTTGAATATGCGCCTTCTACGCACTTTTACACATTTTTTTTCGCTCACTCTCTCTCTCTCACTCTTTCACTCTCTTCCTATTTCCATTTTTTTTCTTCGTGCCTCAACGCAGCCAGGTCAAACTCTTTTCGCATTTGGTTAATGTTGTTGTTGTTATTATTGAAATCAACGCATGCTCCTTCCGTGCCGCTCATAATTTATGACTTTGTTTAAACAAATTTGTGGCGATTTTTCTTTCATTCATTCACTCTAAATACATAAAAAATCATCATACATCCGATGCTCATACGGAGCTCAACCAAATAGTCCTACGCGTATCGTTCAGCAGATGAACCAGATCAACAATTTCTCTGTATATCACACAGCATTACTAATTTGTTGCCGCTCAACCATTTTACACCAGCACATTTTGTTCTCGCCTCAATTACAAATTGAAACATGCTTGAACGAACACATTTGCACAATGCCATTGTTATGCAGGTGCAAAGCAATTACATTCTCGTCTGGAATACATACGTAATTTATAATTTTTAATTAGAAAATTTTGCCATAAACATTTTATAATGCAAATTAAAAACCACACACACACACATATATATAATTTCTGCACATCAATTTATAGACATTAGTGCAATTTGCAAAAAGATCAAAACTCATTTATGCAATTAGTATTGCGGCATGGCAACAATAAGCGATTTTGTTCAAAGACAAAACCATGTATTTGTGTTATAGTTTGTAATTCTGAGCCGTTTTACAACTGCTTTAACTGATTACACGTGTTTGTTTCATAGTTTGGACTTTGAATGTTTGCATCTCAAATTGAGCGGTCAAAAGACCAAACACCACATGATTGCTATAGAATAAAAACAGCGTATGGAAAGGTTGCATTTCAAAGCGAAACACCGTCATACAAAATACAGCAAAAAATGTATGTAAAAACAAACTTTGGTGTGCGACCGTATCATATGCTGTATTTATTCTAGAGATTTCACATATACACAGGACAATAAACATCATCACATCAACGCTGCAATAGCAT